TTTCATTAAACACTTAGCAATAAATAGAACAAAAGGTATATGAGTTACTTACAAAGAAACTTATAGGTATATCTTATTTTAATGTCCTTCATTTTACTGCACGTCACAAATAACACATTTCCTTTACAAACTGAAGGTTTGTGGCAACTCTGCATCAAACAAGTCTATTGGCACCATTTTTCAAAAAGCATGTGCTCACTCTGCATCTCATTTTGGTAATTCTCACAATATTTCAAACTTTTTTATAATATCTGTTATAGTGATCTGTGATCAGTGGTCTTTAAAGTTACTATTCTAATTTTTGAGGGGTGCCATGACCATGCTCACATAAGATGGCAAACTTAATCGATAAATGTTGCATGTGTTCTGACTACTTCACCAACCAGCCATTCTCCTCCCTCCTTTCATCTCTCCTCAGGCTTCCCTATTTCCTGAGACACTAAGATACTGAAATTAGACTAATTAATAACCCTACAGTAGCTTCTAAGTGTTCAAGTGAAAGGAAGAGTCATCGCTTTCTCTTGAAATCAAAAGCTAGAAATGATTAAGCTTACTGAGAAAGACATGTCAAAAGCTGAGACAGGCTGAAAGCTAGGCCTCATAAGCCAAATAGCCAACTTGTGAATGCAAAAGGAAGGTTCTAGAAGGAAATTAAAAGTGCTACTCCAGTGAACACACTATGAACACAGAACAGCCTTATTGCTGATACAGAAGAAGTTGTATTGGTCTGGATAGAAGATCAAACCAGTCACAACATTCCCTTAAGCCAAAGCCTAATCCAGGGCAAGGCCCTAACTCTCTTCAATTCTATAAAGGTGGAAAAGCGTGAGGAAGCTGCAGAAGAAAAGTCTGGCATTAGCAAAGGTTGGTTCTTGAGGTTTGAGGATAGACAATGTCTCCATCACATAAAAGTATACGATGGGCTGGGTGTGGTGGCTCAAGCCTGTAATCCCAGCACTTTGGGAGGCCAAGGCAGGCAGATCACTTGAGGCCAGAAGTTCAAGACCAGCCTGGCCAACATGGTGAAACCCTGTCTCTACTAAAAATGCAAAAATTAGCCCGGTGTGATGTTGCACATCTGTAGTCCCAGCTACTCAGAAGACTGAGGCAGAATCGCTCGAACACAAGAGGCAGAGGATGCAGTGAACCAAGATCACACCCATGCCTGCACTCCAGCCTCAGTGACAGAGCAAGACACCGTCCCAAAAAAAAAAAAAAAAAAGTGCATGAAGCAGCAAGTGCTGATGTAAATGCTGCAAATTATCCAGAAGATCTAGCTAAGATCATTGATGAAGGTGGCTATAAACAACAGATTTTCAATGTAAATGAAACAGCCTTGTATTGGAAGATGCCACCTAAGACTTTCATAACTAGAATGGAGAAGTCAATACCTCACTTCAAAGCTTCAAAGAATACCCTGACTTCACCACTACAATCTATGCATGTAACGAAATTGTACTTGCACCCCTAAATTTACACAAACAAAAAAATACTTTAAAAGGCTTCTAAAAGGTTAACTCTAGTTAGGAGCTAATGCAGCTGGTGAATTTAAGTTGAAACCAATGCTTATTTGCCAATCTAAAAATTTTAGGGCCCTTAAGAATTACACTAAATATACTCTGCCTGTGCTCTATACATGGAACAACAAAGCCTAGATGGCAGTGTGTCTGTATACAGCATGGTTTACTGAACATTTTAAGCCCACTTTTGAGACCTATTGCTCAGAAAAAATATCTTTGGAAATAATATTTTCACTGACAATGCACCCAGGAGCTCAGATGGAAATGAATGATTTTCATGTCCACAAATATAACATCCATTCTGCAGTTCATGGATAAGGAATAATTGATCTGGGCAGAGTAAATTGAAAACCTTCTAGAAAGCATTCACTATTTTAGATGCCATTAAGAACACTCATGATTCACGGCAGAAGGTCAAATGTCAACATAACAGGAGTTTGAAAGAAGTTAATTTCAATCATCAGGGATGACTCTGAGGACTTCAAGACTTCACTAGAGGAAGCAGTTGCAGGTGTGGTAGAAATAGTACAAGACCTAGAATTAGAAGTAGAGACTGAAGACATGACTGAATTGTTGCAACTTCATGATCAAACTTGAACAGATGAGGAGTTGCTTCTTATGAGTGAGCAAAGTGGTTTCTTGAGATGCAATCTACTTCTGGTGAAGATGCTAATGACAACAGATTTAGAATATTATATAAACCTCGTTGATAAAGCATTGGCAGAGGTTGAGAGAATTGACTCCAATTTTGAAAGAAGTTCTCCTGTGGATAAAATGCTATCAAACTGCATCACATGCTACAGAGAAATCTTTTCTAAAAGGAGAAGTCAATTGAGGTGAAAAACTTTACTACTGGCCTGTTTTAAGAAATTGCCAGAGCCACCTTAATGTCTACCAATCACCACCCTCAGCAGCTGTCAACATTGAGGCAAGACCCTCTACCAGCAAAAAGACGATGACTTGCTGATCATTAACATTTTTTAGCAACAAAGAATTTTTAATTAAGATATTTCCTGTTTTCTAAGATAAAGTAGTATTGCACACCTAACAGACTACAGTATAGTATAAACGTAACTTTTATATGCACTGGGAAACCAAAAAATTTGTGTGCCTAGCTTTACTGCAATATTTGCTTTATTGCTGTGGTCTGAAATCAAACCATCAGTATCTCGGAGGTAATGCTCATTCTTAACTTGCAAACTGTTCACCTGGTATTCTCTTTTAAATAAGCTGTGGCCAGGCATTGTGGCTCACACCTGTAATCCCAGCACCTTGGGAGGCCAAAGCAGGCTGATCACTTAAAATCAGGAGTTTGAGGGCCAGGCGCGGTTGCTCACGCCTGTAATCCCTGCTCTCTGGGAGGCCGAGGTGGGTGGATCACCTGAGGTTGGGAGTTCAAGACCAGCCTGACCAACATGGTGAAACCCCATCTTTAAATAAATAAATAAATAAATAACAATAAAAAATAAAAAGAAATTAGGAGTTTGAGACCAGCCTAGCCAACATGGCAAAACCCCATCTCTAATAAAAATACACAAAGTAGCCAGGCAAGGTGGGTGGCAGGCACCTGTAATCCCAGCTACTCGGGAGGCTGAGGCAGGAGAATTGCTTGAACCTGGGAGGTGGAGGTTGCGGTGAGCCAAGATTTTACCACTTTACTGGGCGACAAAGTTTGAGACTCTGTCTCAAAAATAAATTAACCAATTAATTAATTAGCTGTGATATTTACTTGATAACTTATTCACTTTTTATGCACTTGTGAGTGAAGAGCCTGTGCTGAAGCAAGCCTGGTTGGGAATAACCTAGGAGTCCATCTTCCCACAGTACCATTTTGTGGAAACTACGTAAGACAACTATAGAATGTTGTTTCTGCCTGTCTGCTGTAGAAGGCTATTATAATACAAGACTGGAGGAGATAAAAGTGGGCATAAAAGAGTGAGGCCTATGTGACTAAAGTAGCCGAAAAAATGTGTGGGAAGTTCAAGTTGTGATTTCCTGTTGTCAACCTTGGCTCTCATCTTTGGAAACTACACAGGCCCCAAAGGGCAAAAGAAGTTGCTTACACATATAGCTGAGAGGCTTCCAAGAAGATGAAGATACTGTACCTGCTTTATCTTCTGTCCTGTACTCTTTTATAAGGCTAAGGAGGCTGGGCGTGATGGCTCACGCCTGTAATCCCAGCACTTTGGGAGACTGAGGCAGGCAGATCACTTGACCCCAGGAGTTCGAGACCAGCCTGGGCAACATGGTGAAATCCATGTATTGTTTTGTCTCTACAAAAAAAATACAAAAATTAGCCAGGTGTGATGGCGCATACCTGTTATCCCAGCTACTTGGGAGGCTAAGAATTGCTTGAGCCCAGAAGGTGGAAGTTGTAGTGAGCTGAGATTGTGCCACTACACTCCAGCCTGGGTGGCAGAGGAAGACTGTCTCCAAAAAAAAAAAAAGGAAAATTCAGACACAAGGAGAACACCATGTGAATATGAAGGCAGAGATCAAGATGATATTTTTGCAAGCCAACATCACTAAAGATTGCCAGCACTCCATCAGGAGCTAGGGGAGAGGAATGAATAGACTCTTCCCCACAGCCCTCAGAAGGAACCAACCCTGCCAACAGCTTGTGCCGGGACTTCCAGCCTCCAGAACCTTAGACAATAAAGTTCTGTTGTTTAAGCAACCTAGTCTGTGGTACTTTGTTATGGAAGCCCTAATGAACCAATACAGGCTTTAAACTATAAATCACTAAGGTTAGTTAAGTTAGCAAATCACAATCCTCAAAAATGTTAAGTTGAAAAAAGCTGTGTGTGTGCGTGTGTGTGTGTGTGTGTCACAGAGAGAGAGAGACAGTGTGTGTATGTGTGTGTGTGTGTGTGAGAGAGAGAGAGAGAGAGAGAGAGAGAAAGTTAGTTTTGCTCTTATTGCCCAGGCTTGAGTGCAATGGCGTGATCTAAGCTCACCACAACCTCTGGCTCCCAGGTTCAAGCAATTCTCCTGCCTCAGGCTCCCAAGTAGCTGAGATTACAAGCATGCCACCACACGCAGCTAATTTTTCTATTTTTCACAGAGATGGGGTTTCTCCATGTTGGTCAGGCTGGTCTCGAACTCCCAACCTCAGGTGATCTGCCTGCCTTGGCCTCCCAAAGTGCTGGGATCATAGGCATGAACCACTGCACTCGGCAAAGAAGTTTTTGAAACTGTTTACCATCCACTTCAGAAATAACAAAAATCAAAATAAAGGCAATTATTAAAAATAGGTCATGTTAAATGACAATAAAGTTATTGAATAATAATTTCTTTAAAAAGTATAACTAGGTTTCTTTGATACAAGTAACTGGGTCCCAAATGCTGGTTAAAATGAGACAAGTAGGATCCTTCATTAATTTCTCATATCCATTCCTATGTTTTTTCTTTGTTGTTCCATGTGAAACTGAGGAAAAAAATCCATGTTTTCAACTTAAACAGTTGTCAATTTAATCTTACTTTTTTTGAAATTTGCTCGCACTCCTGTTTAGATTTCTCTTCTTGTGTTTCTTCAACTCCTGCAACATCTACTTCATCAACGATTCTGTAGCAAAAATATCAAATAATAGAAAAGGGTTTTTTCAACCTGAAGAGTTCATACCACAGCATTACAATTCACTGCTTTGGCTTGTCTTCAACTTACCCTCAAAGAAATTACAAATTCAAACTCTACTCCAAATACTCCAGATAAGGTACAAAATTAGATGAGCAATAAATGTTAACATATGTTTATGAATAACCTGTAAAACTAAATGTTAGATTATATGATCTTAATATTCAAGTATTAGCAGCTATATAAATCATTCATCCATCATTCCATTAATTCAACAACTACTGAGTACCCACTATATACAAGGCTCCTGGCCTTAGGCCCTGGACTACAATAATGAAAAATGCAGACCCTAACATTGTCTTCTGAGAGCTTTCTATATGCTTGGAAAAAAAAAATAAAGCTATTTCAATATGGTATGGTAAGTATAGGGGCATATACACAGAACACAACCTACACTTGGGGACAGAAGGCATGTGAAGCCTAAAAGATACTTATGAGTCAGGCCGGGCATGGTGGCTCACGCCTGTAATCCCAACACTTTGGGAGGCTGAGGTGGGCGGATCACCTGAGGTTGGGAGTTTGAAGCCAGCCTGGCCAACACGGAAAAACCCCTTCTCTATTAAAAATACAAAATCAGCCAGATGTCGCGGTGCATGCCTGTAGTCCCAGCTACTTGGGAAGCTAGGGCAGGAGAATTGCTTGACCAAGAAGGTGCAGGTTACAGTGAGCCGAGATCATGCCATTTCACTCCAGCCTGGGGAACAAAAGCAAAGCTCTATCTCAAAAACAAACAAACAAACAAACAAACAAAACAACAACAACAAAAAAACTTATGAGTTAGCCAACAAAGAGGAAAGAGGAATGTGAAGGAAAAGGGTATTTTAGGCAGAATGCAGAGTACCTTTTGAGATTAGGAGCGAGACAAACATATTTAAGTGTAAAAATGAAAATGAAAACCTGTTTTCAGACTTACAGGACTGAGAAGCTGATCATGCATATATATAATAGTCTGAGACAATTACTTGAGGATATTCCAGCAAAACTAAAAATGAACCCAAGAACGATGGGAAATACAAGAAACTGGTGAACCAATAAAATGTATAGGTGTATTTGAGCAATGGCTGATGCTAGAGATACAGGGAGCTGAAGAAAATAGTGTCTTAGTAAGTGGTTACTACTGAACACAAGATTGGGAAAAGCTGTGAATTAAAACATGAGTTATACGCCAGATAAAGGCAAGGAATTGGGCAATGTGTCCCATCTTAAGAGAACATGTTACAAAGGGAAAGCCCTGATAGCACAAGGAGAATGTGAACAGTGCTGAGATCTGCGGCTCTTCTTTCAAAGTGACAGGAGGTCAGGCTTCACAGCTTTGTCCAATTCAACAGTTTACACTGACTCACAGCTCCTGAGTTACATCCATCAGATGAGGTACCAACTTGTGAGCCTCCTACAGAAGCCACCATTACAAGAGCCAAAAACCCCAAATACTTGTGAACCTTTATTGCTATAGTATCCAGTAATGAACCATCTCAAGGAGTAGGAGGCAACCTCTCCTTAGGCAGAGTAATAATGACAATAATGACCTTAATATCAGTAACAGCAGCAGCCAACACTTGAATGATGCTTACTCTGTGTCAGAGGCTGCTCCATATGTGTAACACTTATCACAACAATGTTATGACATACATACTAAAAACCCATTTTACAGATGAGAAAACAGTCACAGAAAGGTTATGTAATTGTCACAGAGGTAACAGTGCTGGAGCTGAGATCTGAGCCCCAGTAGGCAGGCAGGCAGGCAGGGCTCCCAAGTATGTGCCCTAAAACCACACTATTATTCTACACTGCCCATTCTAAATGGATGTCTGCTTTCACTGTTAAGGTCTACAGTACTCAGCGCCCATATTAGACCTACGAGCAGGATAGGACAGAGTTGACACCTCTTCTCTGTAAAGCATATTCTTGGCTTAGCTTCAGAGATAGTGAGCTCTCCTAGTTTCTTCTGTCCTCACAGCTGCTACTTCTCAGTCTCCTTCGTTGGTTTCTTGTCTTCACAACTTTAAAAGTCAGTTCTCACACTTCTCTTCTTTGTCTGTATCATCATTTTGAATACCATCTATATGTAGTTCATTTCAGTATCTAAGTCTCCAATCCAAATTCTCCTCTTAAAACAGAACAGAGCTAACTTCCTACTCAACATAACCACCTGAACATCTTCTAGACATGTAATCTTAATATATGCCATACTGAACTCTTGCTCTTCCATCTGAAGCCTAATCCTCTTGCTGTCTAAAACGGCAATGCCTCTCTCAACATCCCTTCCAAAACCCTGAAGTCAATCTTGACTCCTCTCTCACATCCCCCATCCAATCTCTGAGTTAATTCAGTTTGTTCTTCAACACACCCAGGTTTGACCACTTCTTCCACTAATACGACAATCCAAGCTGCTCTGGAGCCCCTACATTCTACTCTCAACACAACTAGAATGACCCTGCTAAAATATGTCAAATGTCACTCTGCTGAAAAACTCTCCAACGGTATCTTGTCTCATTCAGAGTAAAAGCCTTATTTTGGCCCCTACCAGTGCCTCCATGACTGGCCTCCCCCAACCCTACCCCAATACCTCGCAGACTTCCAAGTCCCTCTTACTCCACCCCATCTGTCATTCTGTTCACTTTATTCCCCTAACCCAATCACACAAGGCTCACTCCCTGTGAAGAAGACCTTTACACAGAATTCTCTCCAGCCCTCTAGACATGAAACCCCCTCACCTCCTTCAGGTCCCTGCACAGATTTTTTAAACCTACCAATGTTATCAGTGAGGCCTTCCTTATCTACCTTCTTAAAATATCTACATCCTCCCTACCACCCCACCAGTACTTTCCCTTACTCTTCATTCATTTTCCCCTTACCTTCATTCATTTTCTCAGGGCATTTAATACCACCTAAAATATGATATATTTATGTAGTTTGTCTCCCCTCCCCCAGTAATGTAAATCCATTAGTACAGGAATTTTCATATCTTGTTCTACTGCTACATCCCCAAGGCCATAGCAGGTGCTCCAACGATTTTCTGAGTGAATCAGAAGTAGTCCCATCACAAATTACTTGGAAAAAAACCAGAAACCATATGAGAAAAGACTGATTCATTTGATTGTATAAAACAAAACCACAGCATCCCCATTCCTTTATACAATGAAAACTAATGCCATAGGCAAAGAGAGATGACAATTGAGAGTAAAGTATTTGCAGATAAGAGATCCTAGAATTTCAAAAAGACTAAAAAAGAGAAATAATATGGGCAAATAATATGGACGACTCACCATACTTCCATACCATCCTTCACCCATCATTTTGGCAAAATTCCAAGTGTCTTTTATGTATTGCAGTCAAGTTTTGGAGAATAGATTTCCAATATGCTTTCAGATAGCTGCCGTTGGGATTTTTACATGTGACTATTATCTTTTTTTGTAATAAATTCTTATGTATTTTATAATGTATCAATTAGTTCCCGTTATTTTTCTTAGTAAATTATGTCATCTGCAAGTAATTAGTGTCTTTGTCTCTTTCCAATATTTATAGGCCTTATTTTAGTCATTTTGAAGCTTGGTGATAAAATCATGGGTCCTGGACATAGCTTTTCCACGTACACTGTGCAATCTCGACAGGTTATTTAGCCTCTCCGTGCCTCTCAGCTTTCCCATCTGTAAAATGAGAAGAGCATCACCTTCTCTTTAAGTTTGTTTTGAGGACTGAATTATTTCATGTAAAGCACGAGATAAAGCTCTGGATGATCAATTAAGGTAAAATTTGAGATACAGTGAACAGCTGACCAATATTGAGAGGTAAAATCAACCACAACTGGAAATAGATCTCAGTCGAGGGAAATAAAATTAGTAGATTTAAGGGAGGAGATGGTTCTTAGCATTTGAAATTCAAATAATAAAAAGTGAATATCTGGATGTAATACTACACACTGCTCCAAAAATGAAATCTACAAATTAGGGCCATTTAACAAAGAGTCTCGCTTGCTTTTCCAACGCAATGGAAATATTAAGTCCAAACGGTGTTTGTTGCTTTATTGTGGACTTTAGGGTCCTTCCATGCAAATCAGTGGACTAACGGCTGAGTATCCACTACTTACGCTTTACCTTTTAATAAACTTGTGGTTTCGTCCTTCCTACAGAAAACAGCCTAGTATTTGTCAGTGAAAAAGGTCAAATCATGTCCTTTGAGAGTTTACGGTTTCGTGGAAACAGGCAACAATGGTAAAGACAGACGCTATGGGAATACAGAAGAGGGCTCCTAACCTGCAGCTGTGCAAAGAAAGGGGCGCGCCCTGGAGCCTCCTCGCCCCCACCCCGCTCCCCGAGCCCAGGTTCTCGGCAGCCCCGGCGTGGCAGCCTACGCCTGAGCCCCGTGTCCAGCTTCTGACCCTCAGAACCCCGCACGACCTCTAACAGGTCCAGCGGTGGCGCCCGGCCGGCCCACGTGCTCCCCACTGGCCCTCGCGACGCGGCCCGGATGTAGACCCGGACGGGCTCCAATCCAGAAGGAACTAAGAGGCGGAGTCCGGCTGGGCCCCTGCATTCAAAGGATGAAAAAAGATGTGGGATCACCTTTCGTCAGAATCCGTGGCCGTTTTGCCGAGGGCCGGGTTGGGGGGTTTTGAGAAAAGATTCTCAAAATCCATGACTCAAACTGGGTCCTCCCTTTCGCGAGCCGGGAAACTACAGAGCAACAATCCGAATGCGAAAATATGTACCCACAGCCGCGCCAGGGCCACAGGCTCCGCCCCGCGCAGCGCCCTCCTCCCCGCGCATGCGCTGCACCGCCCTCCGCTACTCTGGGCACGCCCATTCTCTCCCCGCCCCCCCACCAGGCTCTGCGCAGGCGCCTCCGTGGTTGCCCGTCCCTGAGTTTTTCGTCCTTTACCTCTGATACTAGAATTTATTTACTTTATTCTTTTTTTTCTTTCTTTCTTTTTTTTAGGCAGAGTCTAGCCCTTGTCGCCCAGGAGGGAGTGCAGTGGCGCGATCTCGGCTCACTGCAACCTCCGCCTCCCAGGTTCAAACAAATCTCCTGTCTCTGCCTCCTGAGTAGCTGGGATTGCAGGTGCCCGCCACCATGCCCGGCCAATTTTTGTATTTTTGTTAGAGACGAGGTTTCATCATGTTGGCCAGGCTGGTCTTGAATTCGTGAACTCAAGTGATCTGCCCGCCTCGGCCTCCCAAAGTGCTGGGATTACAGGCATGAGCCACCGTGCCCAGCCCAGAATTTTTAAAATGAGTTCTTAGGATTCTGCTTTCAAACTTGGTGAACACTTCCATCGAAATCACAATATTTCTAAGGGATGGAAGTAACAGCTAACATTTATTTGAGCACTCCACTACTATTCCTTGGAAATGGCGTTTCAAATGTTAGCTAACTTAAGCCTCACAAAATCCCTGTAAGAGATGTTCTGCTGCCCTCCACTTTTTTTTTTTTTTTTTTTTTTTTTTTGAGACGGAGTTTTGCTCTTGTTACCCAGGCTGGAGTGCAATGGCGCGATCTCGGCTCACTGCAACCTCCGCCTCCTGGGTTCAGGCAATTCTCCTGCCTCAGCCTCCTGAGTAGCTGGGATTACAGGCACGCGCCACCATGCCCAGCTAATTTTTTGTATTTTTATTAGAGACGAGGTTTCACCATGTTGACCAGGATGGTCTCGATCTCTTGACCTCGTGATCCACCCGCCTCGGCCTCCCAAAGTGCTGGGATTACAGGCGTGAGCCACCGCGCCCAGCGCCCTCCACATTTTTAAAACGAATAAACAGATGTGTAGTCAGATAATGTAATTTGTAGGGTCTCTACAGTTGAAGGGGATTAAAATGAATACACAAGTAACCTCAAGGCAGAAAAGTCCATTAAAAAGTACCAAATACTTTCTGTAACTTTGACAGGAAAAAATTAAAATTAAAAAAAAAAAAGTACCAAATACTAAGAGGATTCAGAAGAAGGAAAAAATGCATCCAGTTAAGAAGGCTTATTGGCCGGGCGCGGTGGCTCAAGCCTGTAATCCCAGCACTTTGGGAGGCCGAGGCGGGTGGATCACGAGGTCAAGAGATCAAGACCATTCTGGTCAACATAGTGAAACCCCGTCTCTACTAAAAATACAAAAATTAGCTGGGCATGGTGGCGTGTGCCTGTAATCCCAGCTACTCAGGAGGCTGAGGCAGGAGAATTGCCTGAACCCAGGAGGTGGAGGTTGCGGTGAGCCGAGATCGCGCCATTGCACTCCAGCCTGGGTAACAAGAGCGAAACTCCGTCTCAAAAAAAAAAAAAAAAAAAAAAAAGAAGGCTTATTAACAAGGGAATATTTTATCTGCATCTTGAGAAAATTTCCATAGGAAAAGATTTAAGTTAGGGGTAAATGGGCATCCCAAGTAGAGAGAATTGTATGAAGGCAGGTAAATAGAGCACACTGTTGCAGAACAGGGAATTACTCAGTTTTGCTCAATATAATGCCATTTAAGGGAACAGTAGAAATGAAGGCTCAAACCCTAGGTTGGGCCAGTGATAGAGAACGCTTACTTCTGTAAGCGAAGGGACTGTTTGATTCTTGGCATGAATCGGGGTCTCTCTGCAGACTAGTGAAGGGAACTATTTGAAGCCAGACATCTTCCTCAGGGAAATTCTACTTTCCACTGTTGTTTATAGTATAGGCAATCACCTATAGACATGAATCATTATTAAAAATTGAGAGGAGCCGGGCGCGGTGGCTCACGCCTGTAATCCCAGCACTTTGAGAGGCCGAGGCGGGTGGATCACGAGGTCAAGAGATCGAGACCATCCTGGTCAACATGGTGAAACCCCGTCTCTACTACAAATACGAAAAAAAATTACCTGGGCATAGTGGCATGTGCCTGTAATCCCAGCTACTCGAGAGGTTGAGGCAGGAGAATCGCCTGAACCCAGGAGGCGGAGGTTGCAGTGAGCCGAGATCGTGCCATTGCACTCCAGCCTGGGTAACAGGAGCGAAACTCCGTCTCCAAAAAAACAAAAAACAAAAAAAAAACAAAAATTGAGAGGAAAAAATGAATTAAGGAGATAAAAACTAGAATTACCCCCTCTATCGGGAAGCATTATTGTGGAACTCAAATTGTTACCACACACACTTTTTTGTATAAAATGTCCAGCATACAGCAAAAGATAACCAAACACAAATGAAAATTAAATTGGTAGGTAAAAAGCAGCTAAAACTTCTGACCTGTTAAAGGCATCCGACACCAGCATTTTCAGACAAAGACTGTATAAAAGGCTACATATGTTTGTGTTAGATTGATGCCAAAATGGCCCCAAGTTCTCCAACCTTTCATGTGTCCATGTCCTTTGCAATGTGACTTTGCAGCTCCTCCCACAAAAAAGGTAGGATCTATTTCACCTCCTCTTTAATCTGAGTTGACTTTGCCTGGTAGAATGACCTTTTAGCTAGTAGTATGCAGATGTGGCCGGCCAATACCAAACCAAAGCCCCAAGAGGCTTTGTATGTGTCTCCTCTCTCTCTTATATGCCTGCCTTCTTCAGGACAATAAGCTCAGGCTACACTGCTGATGATGAGGGACAGAAACGTGGAGGATAAGGATAATGGAGGAGAATAAAAACAGCCAGTAAAACCCTAAAAGCAAAGCCTCCTAGGCAACATACAGCTGAGCACACATATGATGGAGTCCTGCAGAGAACCGAAGACTCAGATGATCCCAGTCCAAATTACTAACCTACATAATTGTGAGCTGAATAGATGGCTCTTGTTTTAAGCCAGTATGTTTTCAGGTGGTTTACTATATAGTCATATCTAACTAATAAAAAATAAACTATGAAAAGTGCCATAGAGGAATTGGGGAGAAGTAACCGAGTAGAACTTCTGGAAATAAAAAATACTGGCATTTTTAAAAATCAGTAGATGGTGTGGTCATATTGAAATGTGTTCAAAAATTCCTTGACACTGCTCCCTGAAAAAGGTGGAGGCTTAGTCCCCTCTTCACTAATGTGGATAGGATTTGCTGATTTATTTCTAACAAATACAGAGTGGCAAAAGTGATGATGCATGATTTCTGAAGTCATAAGGTCATAAGAAGACATTGTAGTTTCTGCCTTACTCTCTTGAATCATCTGCCTGGAAAGAAGTCAGTCACCATGTCATGAATCACTCAGGCAGCCTACCTCACCTACCACATGGGTGAGGTAGCTTGGAAGCAGATCTTCCAGCACTAAGCAAGCTGGAAGACATCTTGACAGTAACCCCACGAGAAACCGTGGGACAGAATCGCCCAGCTAAGCTGCTCACAGATTCATGACTCATGGAGGATATAAGATCAGTGTTGGGTCAGGCTCACACCTGCAATCCCAGCACTTTGGGAGGCTGAGGCAGATGGATCTCCTGAGGTCAGGAGTTCAAAACCAGCCTGGCCAACGTGGTGAAACCCCATCTCTACCAAAAATACAAAATTAGCCAGGCATGGCGGCACACACCTGTAGTCCCAGCTACTTGGGAGGCTGAGGCACAAGAATCACTTGAACCTGGGAGGCAGAGTTTGCACTGAGCCAAGATCCTGCCATTGCAGAGAGAGAGAGAGAGAGAGAGAGAGAGAGAGAGAAAGAGAGAAAGAAAGGAAGGAAGAGAAAGGGAAAGGAGGAAGGAAGGATCAATGTTTATTGTTTTAAACACAAAGTTTTAGGATAATTTCCTATCCTGTATAGCAATAGATAAGTGATATTCCCCATTATTATAAAGTAAATGGCCTAAACATAAAATTATCATACAACCCAGCAACTCCACTCCTAGGTATATACCCAGTTGAAAACAGGGACTGAAATATATATGTGTATATTCGTGTTCACTGCAGCATTATTTACAATAGCCAAAAGGTAGAAACAAACCAAGTGTCCATCCTATGATAAATGGATAAATAAAATGTGATATACACATGGGCCATTATATATCCGTAAAAAGGAATGATGCTCTGATACTTGCTATCAGAACTGAATTTTGTATCCTGGCTGAACTTTGAAAACAGTATGCTAAGTTAAATATGCCAGGCACAAAAGGACAAATATTATATGATTTCGGTTATATGAAATATCTAGAATAGGTAATTTTATAGAGACTGACAGTAGATTAGAGGTTACCAGGGACTGAGAGAGGGTAAAACAGGGAATTGTTGCTTAAAAGTTACAGAATTTCTGTTTGAGGTGATGGGAAAGTTTGGAAACACAAATGGTGATGGTTGCACAACAGTGTGAATATATAACTAATGCCGCTGAATTATATACTTTAAAGTGGCTGGCTGGATGCAGTTGCTCGAGGTGGGTGGATCATCTGAAGTCAGGAGTTCAAGACCAGCCTGACCAACATGGTGAAACCCCCATCTATACTAAAAATATAAAAATTAGTCAGGCATGGTGCCAGGCGCCTGTAATCCCAGCTACTAGGGAGGCTGAGGCAGGAAAATCACTTAAACCCAAGAGGCGGAGGTTGCAGTGAGCCGAGATGGCCCCATTGCACTCCAGCCCGGGCTAATTTCTTTTACCAAAATACGATAAAGCAGCTGCCATGTTAAAATAGTGAAATGGCCCGTTATAACTCAGTTCCAGTATGAGCTAGGTACAATACCTTGTGGGTATGCGCTATAAATCATCAATCACCAATACATGGTGCTGTTTCTCCCACAGCCAAGATTCATGGAGTCTGGGAATCAAGGCTTGCAAATGGGAGAAGATCCTCTCTGTATTATTCCTAGTGATACCCTGGAAAAAATGTTTGCTTCCTATCTC